AATGTTCGTGTGCATATGTGTTAGAGTATATCATTAAATATTATGCTTATAAGTTCATTGCTTTCATATGTAAGATAATAAATTCTTTATCACTACAATATATTGTTGACACACTTATACAATTTGGTAGTTGATATGTAAGTCATTAATAGCTTGGTTGAGTAGATTCATAACCATTGTGCTTACTTGTAATAACCCGTATTTTGACTTTGCCAAAAAATTTTGTGGAGTCATAATAACTCCAAATCACAATCTGTCTTTGTCATAGTATTTTGATCGAAGTATTTTGTTTACATGAATTTTTTTGTAATTTTTGGACACCGACAAAAGTCCTTAAGGAAATTGTACTTGTCTGTACAAGTAAGAAGTTCGGGACCTTGAGGTGTCCAATTTGTAAACCGATTTTGTCGATATTTTTTAAATATTATGATTTATTTTATGATTTTTTTTTTGTAATTTTTTAAGTCCTAAAATGAATTATTTGAATTTTATATTAAAAGAAATTATTTAAATTAATTTTATAATATTATATTATTATTTTAATCCAAAATATCCTAAAGCACTATTAAGAACTTTTAAAATAATCCTTTTTCCTCATTAGTTAGGCCAACATAGAGCTGTTAAGGGAATTAGAGAGAAAGAAAAGGTTTGGATTTGGAGGTCGCGGTGCGATTTTCGTCAGTCGGGCCTGCTTAGATATTTGCTCGTCTGGCTGTAAGGAATCCATATTCTATTTCTGATTTTAAAGATTTTGTGTTTTTGGTATTTTTCCACTCAAATTTGTGTTTCTGTTACCGAAAAACGTGCATAACTTTGTATTGGCAAAACTTTCACCGCGTAACTTTTTGTCTATTATAGAGATCGTGATTATGAGTATTTTGAGTATTTATTTGAGATTTTTCACCGGGTAATTTTGACAATACAACGATTTTTTCTACCCCAAAATTTATTTTGAAGTCTAAAAATAGTAGTGTTGTAGAATAAAAGTCTTAAAATGTCATTTTATACAATCCCTGATAATTTGGTAATTTTATGAAAATGTGCATTTTTGCCTAATAAGATTCTTTATTGTATACCGTTATGACATTTTGGCATCCTCTTCATTAAACTTAATTATGCATTTTTTTGCTGCAATGCATTGAAATTGGATGTGTATATGTGCTTGAGTAATAGCCAATAGCTATTACTATTATAAGATTATGATAATAATGTATGTTTGTGAAACATATAAGTAAAGACTAATTGACCCGTTGGTTGGAGATTGATTGACTTGTACAACATGGTGGGTCGACGGGCTTTTCTTTAAATACTGTGATTTGGTGTTATCCTATACTAATTCACGTGATACTTTGATTGAGAGTTATAAGGAGATTATTAATGTGCCGACGAGAAAAGGGTGACGACTCTATTTACTGAGCTAACGGTTTACTAACACTGATACTAGCACTTAAAAACATCGTGATAGCCAGGACTTCTACTTATTTAGTGTGACTACTAAAATGCATATTTCTTAGGCATCTTTCTTAATATTGTATGGATTTATTTTTAATATACGAATTTACTATTATTGCATTACTCTACTGCTCCTACCATCGGATTATTACTGTTACTATTATAGATACTGATATTATTTGATACTAGTATTTCACTGTACTGATCTTATACATGTGATACACTGAGCAAGCGATAAAGAATAACTAGATTGCATGTGTACATTCCGATATGATTTTACTACATTGATTTAATTTCAACAGTCATTAATGATGTTTTGATTGGACGCTTTATATGATTTTATACTGACTGATATTATGAATATGACGATTGCTTTATAGATTTGACATTCGTATAGTTTACTGCTTTACTGACTTTCTTTCTATAGTATTTTATTGTTTATGGATTCTTCTGCTATTGCATTTGAGTTTTAGTATTCTTGGGCATATTCAATGATCATATAACTGCTACTTCTATGATTTGATTCTTAATATGCATATTGCTCTTTTATCGTGTTTTAAATTCAATTATAGGTTTTGGTAACTTGCTGGGCTTTTTAAGCTCATTATATGTGGTTTAAATATTTTCAGGTAAAGAGTTTGCCGCGTGAAGCTTTATACTGATGCTAGTATAATTTTTGTTAGCTTTTGGTTCATGTATTTTTATAGCCAATTTGGCTATTGTATATATTCTTTTGGACGCTACTTGTGGATTTTAATTATGAACTGTCGTAATGTGAATTATGTTTTATATTTTATTTGCTTTCTTTAATGCAATTATCAACTCTAAATGTCTATATTTATCTAGTAAAAAAAAAAATCTTTCACTTAGATCATGGGACATTACATTACTAATCATATACTCACTCATATGTCTTACTCTTAATTCATCACCATAGAATGCTTGTCAATGATTGCATTAGTTGATTCACAAGTTCGTGATCTAATATTGCCAAGTAATTGTATCATTTATGTTGTACTTCTAACTTGATCACTAAGTGTTTGCATATAATTTCTTGTGCAATGGACAAAACATATTATTTGCATTAACTAGTGTGGCTATTGTATATATTCTTTTGGATGCTACTTGTGGATTTTAATTATGAACTGTCGTAATGTGAATTATGTCTTATATTTTATTTGTTTTCTTTAATGCAATTATCAACTCTAGATGTCTGTATTGATTTGGTAGAAAAAAAATGTTCTTTCACTTAGATCATGGGACATTACATTACTAATCATATACTCACTCATATGTCTTACTCTTAATTCATCACCATAGAATGCTTGTCAATGATTGCATTAGTTGATTCACAAGTTCGTGATCTAATATTGCCAAGTAATTGTATCATTTATGTTGTACTTCTAACTTGATCACTAAGTGTTTGCATATAATTTCTTGTGCAATGGACAAAACATATTATTTGCATATTTGATTGGTTATTTGTATTCCACCGTGCATTGTTTGCGATTGAACTGAAAGTGTTTCGATAGAAATTTCAAAATCAACTCTTACTAGTTATATACTTCACACATATAGCACTCTTGGTTCATCACCATAGAATACTTGTGTATAGTTGCATTAGTGATGTGAAATAAAGAAGCAAGCCAAAGAAAAAAAAAAGGCCAAGTACAAAAAGTTAGGACTTGATTTTAGTTTTTAAAATTTATCAATCTCATCCATAACCATACCAAAAACCCTTATTTATTGAAGTACTCTTTTTATGCATGTCTTCTAACATGCCTTATCCAAACCCTAGACTGTGAGAAAATTTTAGAATATATGCCAACTTTTCAAATATCAACCAAATTAAAGAAAGAGTGACTTAATCTTGAATTCCTTGCTATTATCAGCATAAAATCCTTAAAAATGAATCCGAAAACATATTTAGACTTCGTTGGGTACAGCTTTCTTACTTCTTCCTAAAACTTCTTTCTAGTACCAAATTTTTTTAAAAGCAATGAAAAAGTAATAGTAAAAAACTATCTCAAACACTCGTCTCTATCAACTCTAGGAATTTCATACACTAGTTCAACATATACATCTCATAACAAAATTTTAAAACTTAAAAAAGCTACATTTTGGCCACTATTTTGGGCCTCCACAGCTCCACCTCCATCCACAAGCTCTACTATCTTTAGAATTTTGAGAAGATAACCTTGGTATCCTCCCATTCACCAAAGCTACATGATAGCATTAATTGTCGACAATCAACTTCTTAGAACTTCTAAAAGCCTCTGTTCTATAAATGTTGCATGACCTGGCCCCTTGTGCCTCTTCTATGAAGAAGAATCACATCATATTCTTCTTGATATAAATTTTCTGATATAAATATCGGAAACAAGAAGAAAGAATCATCTCATTCAACAGCTTTATACATATCTTTTGTAATTTCCGCTAGCAATGAGCCAGGGAGTAGGGCCTGCAAAGATAAACGCAGAAATTCAAAAATAGAGATCTAAACTTTTCCAAATATAATCAAAATTACCTTAAGGGTACAAAAAAATAGTGGAGATTTCTAATCATAATAACCATTTAACACAGCAAGTATTTTTTTACCAATCTATTGCATTAATTAGACTAATAAACAATATGTAAAATGTTCTCCTATCATCAATATAGAAACAAAAAAAAAAAAAGAAAAATTTTAACAAAAATATTTTAGATCAAAGTTTATCTATACCGGTCTCATAGATGTTTACATTGCAGTTTAAGCTCGACATCTTCAACACCTTATGTTAGATTATTTCATAAATAATTATATTAAATGGGGCTTATTTATTGTTTGTAATTAGACAAATTGAAGAAATTATAAAATCAGATTATATATATTATTTAGTTAAATGCAATTAAATAAATTAGCATTAATTAATTTTTAATTTCATAATGAGATGGCTGTATCTTCAAGGTATTTGGGACAGCTTTTTTACCATTTTATTTTTTAATTTGTAATCATAATTTAGTTTTATTACTGTTTTCTCATTGATTTCAAGAAATTTTTGTGCTAGGAAGTTGTTCATTAGAACAACTTTTAAAAAAAATTGCCTTCATGACAACAACTTCATAACCCCCTTCATAAAAAGCTACGACATTTCATCACACTTGTGATATAAATAATTTTTGAAGTGCATAGAATATTAAATATTGGTATAATAACATTGAATAAATTATCATTAAAAGAAAATTATATCAAGAATAACAACCAATTCATGGATAAATGAACAAAAAGATTAATAGACATGCTTGTTCATTTATATGTCGAGCTTTACAAATTTTGTTTAAGTTTGTTCAACTATCTAAATAAACAAATATAAACAAGCTATAAGCACAACAAGAGAATATCTCTAAGAAGAAACAAGTCATGCATTGAACTCTTTGAACTTTAGAAAATCATGCTAGATATTGTTGGGAAGTAAATAAAGAACGAAACAAATAAAAAGAAAAAAAAATAAGAACATCAGGATTAAGCATGGAAAAACTCGAAAATGAGAATGAACAACGGAACCACATCACATCAAGAAATTAAATATGAAAAAAAAAATTGTATAGATCTCTCTTATCACACTTTTCTATACTCAGAACAGACAATGAGTCGCACTAGTATATTCTAAATGATAAAAACCTTCAATTGAAATAAGAAGAATGAGGAAGAAAAATTGGTTAGCCCGACTTGCAGTGTCACGGCCTTGGGGTCTAGAGTTACGTAGTGCTCCACTCTTTGTCGTGAATCCACCATGCAGCGTTGTGGTGTTATAGCCTATAGCTCCATGATGCTCTGCTCTTTGTCTCCAACTTGAGACTACAACAATGCCACACTTAAGTATACAACACTGCGGCCTTGTATACTAATGATGTACATTGATCGAACAATTAGACTTCACAAATTCTAACATATATGATTAAAACTATATCACAATTTTGTGAAATTTAAACATCTTTAGAAGCACACATTGGCTACCAATAATCAAGGCAAGAACAAGAACCATCCCTAAAATGATGAAATCTACTGCCATCCCTCACAATTATCTCCCTAACCAGCACCTTTGACACCATCTTACTAAATTCATGGCAATCAACGCATACCCTGAGATTCTTAACAATGCGAATTGGACGGTCCTGATCAATTATCATCAACCCATAAGCAATTGCCAACCTTTCACTATGCACATTTATTACATGAATCTTCTCCTCATCCTCAATATCATGTAAAACTGAGGAGACATCTGATAAGTAACCTGCTTCTACCAGCTTCTTCCCAATTATTTCAAGCATTTTGTAGATCTTAGAAGACTCTTTGTGATCCAAATCACCTGCAATAAACTTATGCAACCTCCCATTACCTTCAATTAAGCTCCAACCTGCTACTTTACTTGTGCAATGACTTGACATCAACTTCCTAACCTCAATAACATCTTCCCATTTCCTTGCCTTGGCATATAAGGCAGCTAAAAGAACATAGTGTCCATCATGTCCAGGTTCTAATTTGATTAGTTTCTTACCTATAATGATTCCTAATTCAATAAATCCATGCGTTTTGCAAGCTCCTAGAAGAGTAGCCCATAACACACAGTCTGGTTTGATGCTCATACCTTCAATCAATTGAAGAGCTTCAGGAACAAGCCCTGCTCGACCGAAAAGATCAACCATACAGCCATAATGCTCCATCTCTGGCTCAATGCCATAATCCCTCACCATTGAGTTGAAGAAATGTCGACCTTCATTGACTAAGCCAGCACGGCTACACGCATTCAGGATGCCAACAAAAGTCACTGCTGTGGGGTTAAATCCTTCATCAATGGATCTCTGAAAAAGTTCAAGAGCTTCCTTCCCTTGCCCATGAGTAGCAACACCACAAATCATAGCATTCCAAGCAAATACATCTCTTTTAGGCAATTCATCGAACACATATCTGGCGAGATCTAAACAACCACACTTTGCATACATATCCACAAGGGCAGTCCCTAAAGCCATTGTAATGGTAAATTTCACATTCTTTATAATTGAATGGACAAAAGTTCCATACTCTAGCAAGCCCAACTGCGCCGAAGCAGAAAGAACGGTGACCAAAGTAGCCTCATTTACAGACACACTTCCATTACTGACCATTTCACTGAACAAAACAAGCCCTTTCTCCAAATCGCCATTTTGAACATAACCCATGATCACGGTGCTCCATGAGATCACATCTCTTTCAGGCATTTGATCGAACATCTCTTCCGCAACAACAATCTGCTCATTCCTTACATATCCGACTAACATTGCGTTCCAGGAAACCACGTCTCGGCTATTAGGGAACTCATCAAAGACCTTTCTTGATTCGTACAATAATCTGCAAGCGCTGTATAAGCTTATCAAAGCGTTTCTGACATATAAATCTTCACAAAAACCAAACTTTAACGCATGGGCATGAACCTGAGTGCCTTCCGAGCGAGATGGGTCTCTGGTGTACGCATGGAGGAGGATAGGAAAAGTGAATTTGTTGGTGGGCACGCCCGAGATTCTCATATTTTTGTAAAAGGCGAGAGTTTGATGAGGTTTTTCACCTTTGGCGAGGCATCGGAGGAGGTTGTTAGCTGCGAAGACGTTGGGAAGCTCTATCTGGCGGTATACGGAGTGAAAGTAGGAAGGAGGTGGAAAAGGGGAAATGGCGCATGCGGCGAGGAGGTGGCCCATAGCGGCGCGGCTGTTGGCGAGGCCGAGGGCGACCAGATGAGCGTGGGACTGGAGGATTTGGGAGAGGGAAGGAGAGGGAGGGAGAAGGGAGAGAGGGGGAAGGGAGGAAAGATGAACATTGCGGGGGGTTGGTGGAGCTTGGAAGTGATGACGGCGTGAAATAGCATGACGCATGAAGACGAAGAAGAAAGAGGACTTATACTTGCTCTTATCAGCCTTAAGAACATAAATCTTTAGTTCAATTATAAATTTATAATAGATTAATGTAAATAAATATAATTTATATGATTTTATAATTTTATTAATAAATTTAATGTGATTGATTTACTTAATATTTAGTTCCGTTTTGATATATCATCAAAAAATTATCTTGATGGGGAACATATCTCGAGGCAAAACCAAGTTGGAAACTTCCGAAATTAAAATTGGAACCATCCAAACTTCAATTTCAGCGAACTTATAGTCGAACTGAGCGTCTCAAGAAAACGAACCCAACAGCACCAAACCCAACCTAATCCGAGCCCAAACGGGTCCAAATCAAGAGTTAGAAGCGTTGTTGGAAGGTTCAAACCATAATTTGGATTACCAAACGGTTTACAAACATAACATGCTTATAATCAAATCAAACGGCTCGACAAGACAAATCCAACGAGCCTAAGATAGCCTAATTCTGACATCACTAAGACCTTCAAATGTCTGACGAACGGTCCACAATCTAGGAATTCAATATCGGCCGTCCATCTAACCACTCCCCATTTACCCTTGATCTCTCACTTATTTACGGGTCATGTCACTCCAAAAATTTATAAATAGACCCCTCATTTCTCTTGAAAAGGGGATTTGAGCAAGAAGAGAAAGTGGAAGAGAAGGAAGAGAAAGTGGAAGCTCCTCCTCGACCACTGTTGGACTTCTACCAGACCACCGCCTGACGTCATTGCTCCGTCAGACCACCGCTGGAGGCCCTCTCCTCCGCCGGACCACCACTTGAGGCCCTCACCTCTGTCGGACCATCGTCTGACTTCGTTGCTCCACTTGAACTCCACTTGAGGCTCTCACCTCCACCGGACAATTGCCTAACGTCGTTGCTCCACCGGACCACCACTGGAGGCCCTCTCCTCCGCCATACCACCACTTGAGACCCTCATCTCCGCCGGACCACCGCCTAATGTCGTTGCTCCGCCGGACCACTGCTTAAATCCCTCACCTCTGCCGGACCGCCTGACGTCTTTGCTCCGCCGACCACCACTTGAGGCCCAGACTTTCTGCTGGACCACCACTTAAGGCCCTGTGCTCCACCAGGCCACCACCTGAGGCCCGGACTTCCGCTGAACCACCACTTGAGGCTCCGAGCTCCACCAAGACACCACCTGACGCCCGGAGTTCTGTCGGACCACCACCTGAGTCGCGGACTTCTGCTGGACTGCCACCTGAGACCTGAAATTCTACCATACCACAACCTGAGACTCGGACTTCTGTCGGGCCACCAGTTGACACCAAGAGTTCTCCTAGAGTATTACCCTTCTACTATGGTCTTTCGGACCCCTGTCTCCCGGAGTACCGCCCTTATACTACGGTCTTTCGGACCCCTATCTCCTATCGATTATGGTCCTTCCGACCTCCATCACTAGACAATGGTCTTTATGACCTCAGTCACCTTCCTACTACAGTCTTTCGGACCCCTAACTCCTGCCGATTATGGTCCTTCCGACCTCTATCAGCAGACAACGGTCTTTCTGACCCCGGTCTCCTGTCAACTACAGTCTTTCAGACCATTGTCTCGTGCTGATTATGGCCCTTCCAACCAAACAAACATGTCAATGTTGATTATTGTAACTCCCATCACGTAATGTGCTCTATATGATGTACATTTGTAACATCAAGCCAAGGTCTTCTCCCTAAGAAGGATCTCATTTGTAATCGACTATAAATACTAGTGGATTCATTCAAACTGTGCAAGACCCCGTGGTTTTCCCCTTTTTCAGGAGTTTCCAAGTAAAAACTTTGGTGTCTCTTATGAACGCTACTCTCTCTCTCTCTCCCTCTCTCTCTCTCTCACTCACTCTCTCTCTTTCTCTCTTATCTACTTGTGTGTTGGATCTTCGTACAATGCTAAGATGTTAAACTATATATTTCTCTATCGCCGTGAATATTCCAGGACGCAACACATATGATTAAGGGATATTTAACTATTCCTATTATAATTTTAAATCTACATTAAATTAAATAAACTAATAAAATTTAAATCAACATTTATTTAATTTTATAAAATTTTAAATCTAGACTAAATTAAATAAATTGAAAAAGATAAATGTCAAAGATAAATTAAAATATGACTATTTAATTGATTTTTAATATTTTATTTATCATCTTAAATAAATTTAAATTAAAATATTTGATGCACAATATTTAAAAATTTTGTAATGTACGAATAACATTTTTTATAATTTTATGACTAAAGAAAATTTTTACATTAGACAACTTGGTTACACCTATGGTATACATTAATTTTACTTTATAATTTATGTCAAACAACAAAATATATTAAAAATTCTAAGTTTAGCATAAGAAGCCTTATAGATATTGTTTTGAAGCAAAAACTCACTATTTACTTGCTTCCAATAGTTTCTTTATTAAAATCTGCATATTTAGTAATAGATTTATACTATTAGATTTATACTATTATACTATTAGTTTTAAATAATATTCAAACATTTATTTAAAAGTAATTTAGTTTATATATTTAATTGTTTGATATTTGGGGATATAAATACTTCTATAAGTAATATATAAAAGTTTTAAAATACATAAGAATATAGAATGAATTAACAAATAAATAATTAAATCATAATTAAAAAAATATATTTTATTGAACTCATAATAAGATACTTACTAAATTATAAAAATCACATGTACAAAAATAAATATATTTTCAAAAACAATGTTCAAATTTATTTATTTATATACCAAAATTTTAAAGTTTATTCAATTACAAACATAAATAATAGTTATTTATGAAATACACTAATTCATTTAAGTCTTATTATCAACTCTAATGTGTAATTAGTCATAATTTAGCCTTGGCAATTGTTGGAATATGGATATCCAAAATAGCAATATGTAGTAGAAGGGTGTAACTGGATTATTATTGCTTATGATGAACCCGATTTATATGAATTGATAAAGCATAAGCATACAATACTTAAATGACTTAGGGTTCGTTTGGCACGGCTTTTTTATTGCTTTCTAAAACGGAGTTTTAGTACAATTTTTTTTATTTTTGTATTAAAACTCCGTTTTAGAAAGCAATAAAAAAGCCGTCCCAAACGAAGCCTTAAGCACATATTTCTGCTTTCTATGCATTGGACATAGTGTTAGGTTCTAGTGACCTATTTTGTTTCCACTCATTATATGGTTCTACATGATTTCAAGAAAGGATAAGAAGCTAATGGGGTGAAGCTAGACAGATTCGGTTCTAGTTTTAAGTTTTTTTTTTTTTTTTTTTTTTTTTTTTTTTTTGTTTTTATGTATAAAATATTGTTGTAATTTGTATTTTCTACTTATATTTTTCTAGTCATGAAAAATGACTGAAGATAAAATGATTTAAAAGATGTATTCATTCTTTTGAAAATGAAATATACATGTTTGACAAGATGAAAAGAAAATGAAAATGATTTTGTTGTTGTTTTTTAATTTTGATTTTGTTGTGTTTTTTTTAAATTTTTATTGAGCTATTGTGCTCAATAGCTTAGAGGACTATAGTCAATGAGCGATGAAGGTTGAAGGATTGTAGTAGGATGATAGTGGCTGAAAATTAGTAGTCGGGTGATGGTGGTCCGAGTATCATATTCCGACGATGGTGGTCAAAGGATCGTAGCTGAGTGATAGAGATTGGGACCATGGTTTTGTTACAAATATCTGAGGATTGTAATCATCGGGCAAATGAGGTTGGAATAATCTTTGTTGGGAAATGATTTCCATAAGCTTGTAGTCGAGAAAAGTTGGTAAAAAAAATCATAATCAAGCGACTATGGGCTGAGGACTATAGCCAGACAATAGTTGTCAACGGACAGTAGTCGAATGGTCGTAATTGGTGGGCAACGAAGGACAAAGGACTGTAGTAGGAAGATAGTGGTATGAGGACTATATATGACGTCCCAAGATCTAATTTGAAATAATTATATTTTTTACCTTCTACTTAATCTAACAAAGCCTCTAATAATTTAATAGTATAAATGTGTTCGGCAAAAGCAACTACAAATCATATGCATCAAGTAAACTGCATCAATTTAAAATTCAATATTTATTTCCCAAAATTTATGTGCAAAAATTAAGAGTTCAATCTATAACATTAATCTATCATTAAATACTATTGGTTATAAAAGAATAAAACTTAAATACAAAAAATAAAACTAAACCTACAAATTCTGATTGGTCTCACTCCATTATATTCTATCCTCTTTCTAAAAAATATGTAAAAATCACATATTGAGCTAATAGCTCAAAAGGTTACTAAAACTTATAACTACAATCAATACAATACAATAAAAATAACATGCATGCATCAGTCATGTCTTGTATCATGCTCACATCATGTTATATCGTTCATGTTATTATCATATCATGTCCTATTCAAGTAATATATAATTTTAGCATTTAAGAAAATTAAATTAAGAGCAAGACATGATATATGGCTACTTGTGAAATTTTTTCTTGCATTAAGTCTTGTAAGCCCTTCGGATTAAATAGAAACCAATCATAATCATATCAATCCCTTAAATATGAATAAATATTATGTCAGATGTCATAAGCGATGTGGCATTCATGTAAGAAGTTCTCACTTTTTGTCCGTCAACATATCATATTATATTAGTCAATCTCCTTATACCTCACATTTCATATCACTTGAGATTACACCATAA